CTTTGGAATACTAGCCCAATGCTCTGCCAACTGAGCTACGCGGTCAGAGCATTGGGCTAGTATTCCAAAGGTCGTAGGTTCGATTCCCACCGTGGCCGGGCATATTTTTCAAGCTCGCCCGGTGTGGATATACACTCAGAGTAACACTACAAACATCATATTCACCTGAGTACACAACACCAACACAGAAAAAATTGTTAGTATCGTTAAAAATACTGACTACTATAGGAGCAACCACATGTCAAAAGTGCGATCTGGGGGCATTAGTCACACACAATAGCTAAGGCTAACGACAAAGACAGGTCTGTCAACTGTAAGCTTACATGTTTTGCGCAAAAATAGACAATGTCTAATGTGACGGGTTCATCCCGGCTCAGATGCCAGCGACGACGATACTGATTTATTGAAAATAAAAACGTCAACGTTCAAAACCCAACAGTAACTTTAATAGAACTTCTAACACATTTGGCAGTTACAATATCAACTAAAGTAATGCAGTAATATATAAAGCGCTCTATCACACAACGTGTTCAATAGCAGTTGGTAGACACTAACAATTGGTAATTCAAAAGGTTTAAAGCTATAAAATACAGCAATATATATCAGACGCTCAATCTATTAAGAGGTCGCTTCCAAATATGGAATACCTTCCACATTTTCCATCTATTGTTTTTCATATATGGAAATATTTTATATGGAAATATGATCCAAATATGAAATGAAAGCCGAGGTGAATGAATCTTGGGCAGGGCTTAATCCTGTCCATGGTAATCCGATGCAAGCGGAATATTTAAATTTCCTTTGCCCATATTAGAATGCTCCCAGCTCGCTCGCTGGTCGCAATAAATATCTCTTCTTTCCTACCTCATGCATGGTCCACCTTTAGCCATAACTAATTATTTACGTAATCATTATGGCGTACGCGTACCCAGAACGAAACTACGTCATGATTAGCATTATCAGCGCAATCGCAAATATTCTACCCAAGGCACGAAACACAAGCTCCTTTAACTTACGAAACGTCTTTCTGCACCATACCCTTGTAGCCGCTTCATGCGCCGCCCATGAAGCATCTGTGACAACCGATGAATCTAAGACAACCAATTTGTTTTTCAGTGTACAATATTTATTTATTTAATCAACAACAACGTAAATACTAGATCTGGCACATAAAGATGCATACATACAAATTACATGTGTGCATTACAAAATTACTGAAGAACATTGTAAGGGGCTGTTTATATGGTCCCGCTTACCCGGGATTCAATGAAGTGTGACGTATTTTGAGCAATTGAAATAAGTCGCAGTTCATGATCTAACAAAACTGCTTGTTACAAATTGTATGAAATTCCATATTTTGGACAAAAAACAAATGTTGTTGAATGTTATTAATTATCGTCTTCTTCCACCATATAACTTCTAGCGCGTTCCTAATTTCGTTTAAACAATATTTAAAGTTACCTAAATTTTGTTTAGGGCTGAAACACGTATTTCAATTGCTCAAAATACGTCACACTTCATTGAATCCTGGGTAAGCGGGACCATATAACCAGCCCCTAAATTACATGACGATAGCTCAGTCTATTATGCAAAGCTTGACATGTTACGATAAGCATGTCAATATCTCGCCACGAAAACATTTCCTGCATTAAAACTATCAATCCGTATATATAACTATAACCTTTGATAGAGTAAAATAATGGGAGGAGGAAGCAAAGCATAGTTTTGCAACAGGAGGAAAAATTCATATTGAAAAGAAATTCGAAGTTTCCAGTTCGAATCTCGCACGAGCCAAAGGTGTTTGAAAGGTTTGTATCCCCTTTGGAATAAATTGTGGTTATATAGCTCCATGGGTATAGAGCACTAGAAACAAGAAAACTGAAAGTTCAAGTTGGAATCGCCCATAAGACCACGATATTTTCGCTGTTCTTTAAAGACCAAAGGTGTATTGAAACATTTTGTTCAATACGCAATAACAGAGTACAATGAAATAAAAAGTTTCAGAAAAAAGTAACAATAATTACCTGTATCTATAGCAACTCCATCTTTTTGAGACTTGCAAATGGCATATGTAAGGTTTCCGCAACATAATGAAGATTGTAGAACAAATGATTTGTTTTTCTCCTTCATTTCCGCAATAACACATTTATTACCATTGTGCTTATTAACCACGCCTGTGATTAGGTAATCACCACTACATTCATATTCCTTCGTTACTTCGTTATACACAAGGCCTGCCCAATACGGCCCACCTTTCTGCAGCTTTATATTAACAGTGCTTTGGAAATAAAGCAAAGTTACATTGTGTTTTGAACAATACTCTTGTGCTTGTGGCTGAGTGAGCTTTTGCTTACTGACAATGTCTTCAGCATTTCCATCATCTAAAAACAAGTTATGAATTAACGAATAAAAATGTAAGGCCATTATATTACTGGAGCGTAGCGTTATAGTATCGCACCTATTATGTATCGACCTACATGCAATTTGCGTTCAAGCTTGCGTGCAAATATTTTCACGTTCAAAGCGCAACATTTCAGAGGGTTATAACGCTCGTTTCACCAATGAAACTAAATTGTTTGAAAATATGAAAAATAATTTTATGCGAAATATTGATACAATACAATAATTTTTTATTCACCTTATTTTGTTAATTACAATTGATATTTTCCCCTTTTTTTTGAAAACAAATTTTTCCCTTGATAGTCCAGATATATATTCATTCAAAGAGAAGAAGGATCAAATATTTCTTAAGGTGACTGGAAGCTAAGAAAACTAAAGTTTTCTAGTTAGCTCCAGCTATAATAAGAGAATAAAATTATTGCAGCGACACAAAATACAATACACACACAATACAAAAACAAAGATTGGCAGTCAATAGTCTAATTGTTATTTTTCTTAATACTTTTTAAGCAAAAATTGTTTTACTTTTCTTGAAAACGAAAAGTGTGGGAGATCTTTTAGGTGACAAGGTAACTCTTGCCAGAGTATAGCAGAGTATATATAGTTTATTTTTGTATTATCGTGATTCTAAATAGTGTATAATTTATTTTCGTCGGGGTAGCCGACTTTTAGAGGTATACAGCACGAAATTGTACAAACGTCAAGTGGTTTTCAAGTGCGTTTGTACTCATTAGTATGCAAGACATAAATTTGAGGGAATACACTCAGCTATGCAAATGATTTTGGGGCAGTGCAGTCATTAATACGGAAGACATAAGATTAAAGCATGCTATATGGCCAGCTTGGTAGCCTGCTATACCCTTCTAAATTCCAGGCTGCGAGCAGGCAACCAGCTTGGGGACGTTTTGGAATCTGCCATTTTAGCCCCAGAAGCAAGTGTTAGAATTACGATAGAAACGGAGCTAAAAATGTTGATAAGGTGTTCGATTACGGTGATATATAAATATGATCAGTAAAACTTTCTCATGACAAAGTGACTTTTATATATGTATATGACTCAAGGAAAGAGAATCTAAATATGCTTGTTGGATCAAGTTTATAGTTCAGAATTTAAGTTAGAGCTGTGAGCCTGACCGAAATATTCGGTCCGGTACTTTTCTTAGCACCGTAAGTCGGCACTGAGCATGCGCAAAAGAAGGTTTCACAACGCTTCTCAGCGTTCTCACTTTTAAAGAAATTTCTTTAAGCTGAGGACATTTATTTTGACCTCTTTAAGGATTTTTTTGAGGAATGAAATTTTTGACGAAATTAAAGTGTTTTTGTTTCATTTGCTGTGTGTGTGTTGGTGTTATGTACTCAGGTGAATATGATGTTTGTGATGTTACTCTGAGTGTGCATCCACACCGGGCAAGCTGAAAAGTTTGCCTGACCACGGTGGGAGTCAAACCCGTGACTTTGGGATACTACTCCAATGCTCTGCCAACTGAGCTACGAGGTCAAGTCGATTCGAGTTGGTGATATTTCGGAACTGAGTCTAGATCCTTCGATATATATCAATGTTTTCAGCTTGCCCGGTGTGGATACACACTCCGAGTATAACATCACAAACATCATATTCACTTGAGTACATAACACCAACACACACACAAAAAATTATGATCTTAGAATACATTGATATGGAAGGAACTATTATATAGACTGAGTTCCGAAATTATCACCAACTCGAATCGACTTGACCTCGTAGCCCAGTTGGCAGAACATTGGACTAGTGTTCCAAAGGTCGCGGATACGATTCCCACCGTGGTCAGGCTTACTTTTCAGCCTGCCCGGTGTGGTTATACACTCAGAGTAACATTAAAAACATTATATTCACCTGAGCGCATAACATCAAAACACACACATACCACACACTCGAACAGACTTGGCCACGTAGCTCATGCAGTTAATTGGCAGAGCATTGGACTATATTGCGGTTGCCACAGAGTATGTTAATAAAACACAAAACAATGACACTCCGAAAATTAAATTAAAAAATTTAAGAATTAAAATGTTTACAATTTTCGGAGTGTCTATTGTTTTTTGTTTTATTGGACTATATAGTATCCCAAATGTAGCGGGTTCGATTCCCACCGTGGTCATGCAGGCAAACTTGTTGTACCTTTTTAATTTCAAAGTAATTTAAAAATACCGAAATCGACACCCAACCAAGGTTCTTCCACCCCCAAAAGACCGAAATCGAGATAAAATTTCTGGAACGCACAGCTCAAATTTAAGTTAGTACTGTCATAAACATTTGGGCATCAGAAGAAAGCAACTTGTCCAGTTTATGGTATAATCATAAATGGAGGTACAAAATAAGTAAGAATAACTGTTTTACTTACCAACACTATTTCCAAGGCAAAATCCACAACTGACGATGATCAAAAGGCCCCAGAAAAACATTTTTTCTGCGGGAAAGTTTCCCTTTAATTTCTTCTCATTTCTTCACCTGCGCTACTGCGAGACTTTGCATGTGAAGTGCTGTCAACTAATAATGCGCATGGAATAATACATGAATTGCGTAATGATTATAAGACGCGAACAAAATGATAAACGTACTGGGAAATATTTGGCAGATACAAGAGCTTTATGAAGTTAATGTCAATAAGACGCTATCATGCCAAGGCGCTGTTTACAAACGAATATGGACGTTAAATAGATATAATATGAGATGTGATGGATGAAAGGATGGAAAACATGCCGACAATTGGTAATGACACAATGCGGACAGTAGACTTGGATCAAGTTCGTCTCTCTTTCGAGTTTCAACAACAGCGACTGTTTTATGACAAATTGAATAACATACAGTATTTTTCAATACTGCTTTTCAATCTATAACTGAGGCTGTTATACAAGTTCAACTGTGGACTGCAAAATTTAAAACGTCACCCGAAAAACAATTCTCAATCAATATTAGATTCATATCGATTTAATCGATATCTCCTTTAAAACAGTCAAAAGGAAAAACTGAAATTGGAATAAAATATCTTGAAATGTTAAACATCGAAATTATACAAGCGAAAAGACAAAATGACTTTCTATAATATAGTGATAAAAAACGTTTATTTGTAGATTCTATTGACTGAAGACCATTGCTGAAGACGGCCATCTGTTCAAAATTCATTAAAACCGATCCCAATTACCGTATTTATACTCGATTGAGCGCCGCCCCCGAATGAGCGCCGCATTTGAGATCAATTTTTTTTAAAAGAGCGCCGCCCCCGAATGAGCGCCGCACTAAACAGTGCAAAAACTTTCCGCCGTCAAAATGGGGACTTTTAGTGACAAAGACATTTAAAACTTGTTTCTTTTATTGTTAAAAGTTCTTGTTATAATTCACAAATAAGAGCGCCGCCCCCGAATGAGCGCCGTATCTATTGCTCAGAAAATTTAAAGAGCGCCGCGGCGCTCATGCAAACGAGCTCGAGTAAATACGGTAGTTCGTAGTGAACATTCAGATCTTCACAATGAGGCGCCGCACTGCCTTTCCCGCAACGTGGGTGTAATTCGTCTCCACAAATCAGGCTGCAACACAGGCAATACAATAAACTGTATAACATTAATATAAACCGCGTTGCTGGCTGACTATCTATAAAATTGTGAAATTGTTAGCTTTATAATATTAACTTTAACGACCGAATTTTTCAGTCCTTATTTCAGTTTAACAGGAAGAGAAAAGCATATATTTTTCAGTCGTCAAGGCTGCTTTACAATCCGAAAGAAAGATTGTGCAGTTAAGTAATTACAGATATTGAATTGAAAACAGTGGATTTCAATTCGGGCGAGTTCAGTATTAAATTGAAATCGACAATATATGGCTAAATTTGAGCTTTTGCATGGTAGCATATTTTGAACCGCCATTTTGAATTTCGCATGTGATACCCACGTTGAAAGTGAAGAAACACGTAACACAAAATTTGTTACAGGCTTGCAGAAAACGTTTTCAAATATCTTTCTCAAAAAAGTGAAAAATTTCACCGAATCAGTTGCTGAAGGACCGCAACCGATATTCGAATTTGGGCTGTTTCCGGAAAAACCAGCTACATACAAAACCCTTGTTGAACAGCATACTGATGAATGATATGACGTTCGTTTATCAACTTGAAATTATAGAAAAGCACAATTCATATGTTTTTCAAAATTTCAAAAAAGTTTTCTGTTTGGTTTTATGGAAGGAATACAATTTTCCTGTCATTCTGAATGCCCTTCATAGCTAAGTATGAATAGAAATGAAAACAACTTAAATTGAACACAAACGAACACAGACATACCAATTACAGTAGAGGTTGTAGTAGCTGTTCCATCTAAAAAAGAAAGTGAAATGTTATTATTATGTAGGATGAAAGGAACACAGGAATGAACAATTGATACTAGATCTAGCATAGCTATTTCGCCCTTTCTTAGAGGCTCTATATAGTGGCATTTTCACAACTCCACTCTCGCGGTTAGGTTTAATCGAAATTTCCATCTACAAAAAATCTCGCAACATTCTGGTCTAGATGTCAAAATCTAGAATAACTACAGGATTTTTCAAGGAGTTTCTAGAAGTAAAATAAAAATCCAGGGTTTTCCAGGATTTCCAGGGGGCATACGAACCATGATATACATGAACATGTCACTGGAAAAAAAAGGTGAAATCCATACTATGAAATTTACAATTGTACCACTAAAATTAACTAAATCCATAGTATATATATACATAGGTCATAAACTCATAATTGTAGGTCCATAATAGGTCATAATTATAGGTCATAATAGGTCATAATTGTATAGGTCATAATTGTAGGTCCATACAATTTCCATTCTATGACCTTCTATGGATTTTCAAAATATTTTCCAGTGTGTGGTTGGCTCTTGGCAACAGGACTCTATGCTCAGTGGGAGGTCCTATAGCTGACTCTTCCACAGTCCCTAACACTACTTATAACGCAAAGGACCATGGGAATGCCCCGAGGCGTGGGGACGAGTCAGGTCCTATAGTTGTATTCTTTGGAAACTACTCCCAGATAGGTCTAAATTTCCATCCGTCAAAACCTTACTATTCATATACAACTACATCATGGAGGAAACGTAGAAGAAAGGCACATGTCCTGTCGTTCATGCAACGCATAGCCGCCAACATAACAAACGACTACCTACATTGGATTTGGGTTATAATCACACATTCATACCTTGAATGGTTGCGGTGGAGGACTGAGTTGACTGTTGATTCGACGATGAAACTGCTGCAAGAAAAATTATAGATGATTAGTTCTGTTATATACTGCCTTCAACTTGTTTTATGCAAATTTGGGCATGACAGTAATTTGAAAACGGCTGATAAAAACTCGAGGAAATCTTGGTGGAGTCAAAAATAGAAGCAACCATGACAAAAATGTGCTAATAATGAAAATTTGATAAATTCCTGTAAAATTGGTACTCTACTGTTGAATGCACCAATCACTTTTGGTTTTGGTGCAATTGACCAATCATAAGGAGGCAGGAAATGACCAATAATAATTAAACACACGAAGTTGTGGATAATTGGTCACACATCTCAAATGAATTAGTTCGTGTGAGGAAATGAATTGGTACTGGATATTTTAGGAACACTACCATTACCACGACCTAGAATTAATTAATGAATTTTTACACTTTGATGCTATCCAAACGGACCAAATTAACAGATCTTTATTCAATGAACACTTTATAATCAGAACAGCCACGTTCCCAGGGGTTACGTAAACGCAGGCGGCTATAATAAGCACAGAGAACGAGGATATAATCTGACCAATTATCTCGATATGTAATTTTTGCACCTAATCGATAGTTCGTCATATTTTTGAGATCAGTGAGCTGACCACCCATACACACATGAACCATGATCACGTGCCCGCGTTCATCGATAAAATTTTCAATCGGCTTACTAATCTCGTACCCAGAGCAATGCCTGTGCGCGGGCTATGAAGGCATTGGCTCTGGGGAAATTGACAACCGGAACCCCTAAATTTAGGGGTTCCGGTTCTTTGTCGGCATGCACGATTGACAAACGTTAAACCAATCACAGCACAGGAAAAATTCAATTTCCCCAGAGCCAATGCCATCCTAGCCCGCGCACAGGCATTGCTCTGGGTACGAGATTCAGTCGGCTTGCTTTCTTTCTCCCGGGTGTAAATAGCCGAACGGAATTAGTACCCTCGCCCCGTAGGCAGTACCTCGCCCCGGAGTTAAGGCCGTTTGCCATTAACGTTCGCTTTGCCCGCGCGGGCGAAGCGTTCATTGTTTTTGACGCCCGTCACGCCCTCGTGAGCAGATTTTCAAAGCCCTGTATGTCAAGATATTCGAGATTTTGTTTGGTGTGCAAATGCGACTTAAATGACGCCACACTCAGGGACGCCGGAACTGGGGGGGCAGGGGGGGGGGCGGCTGCCCCCCTTGCCTTTTGCTAGGGGGGGGCAGAAGTGCCCTTTTGGTTGTAAAATACTACGTGATAAATCACATTTCCAACGATGCTTTTTGTAGGAAAATCATGAGATTCAGGTAATTTATAGTTTATATTTATAAAAATTTTTGAAAATTTTTGGAATTTAGAAAAATATTTTGAAGAAATGGCGAAAATTAAAGATATGCGGAAAAATTTTTGACTTCACGGAAAATTTTGGTATGTACGGAAAAAATTTTTGACCCCAAAAATGGCGAAAATTTTTTGGCGAGGGGGGGGGGTTCGCCCAAAAATTTCCATTGAAAAAAATATTTCCGGTAGATTTTGAAGTTTTGCTCTATAGAGGTGCCGTTGGTGTGCGTCCGCCCCCCTTTGCCTTATTATCGTTCCGGCATCCCTGGTCACACTGCATAATGAGTTTTTAGAAAGAAAATGTTTCCGTGCCAAACATGTGATAATTCCACTGACATTTAAAGTTATATACTTTAGGAACTATCAAAGCTATCATTTCGTCTGCAAATTTGAGTTAACGACAGTTTTATCAAGCTAAAAAACAGTCTTCTGTAAAATGTATGCAGTGTGACGTCATTTAAGTCATATTTGCATGCCAAACAAAGTCCAATATCTTGACATACAGGAAAGATAACAAAAAAGTTTTAGAAAAAAAAGTTACATTATGATTTCAAATGAACTGTGCAATTCAATCATAAAAAAAACTCTCGCATAGGCACTTTAAATTGGGCAATTCCGGTTTATTTATGTCTATTAATTATCATTTTCGCATCAAGACAATCATAAGTTATGCCAAAATGATGGCCTTGAACGAAGGTATGTACCATGCAGTATCTTGCAACACTGACTTTTAATTTTTATTTCGCATGATCTTCATCGAAAGACAAAGCGTGTCTTTTTGCACGTGTACCATATGGTAATGCAGCCGTGCAGGTTTTGCGATTTCAACAATGCTGCCGCTACCGCGCTGAACTCTCAATACCTCTCAACTATTTTATTATTAAATTCATCACAAATGTTTACAATGACACTGATATACATAACATGTTATAAGACAACGTACAGGACTGCGATGAGGAACAGGACTCGGATGAGGAACAGGACTTTCGTCCCAATAGTCCTTACGTCGCGTCACTGTCAAACAACGAATATTTGACCCACATGTATCCCACATTGCATTGCGTATACCTAATGTTTAGATGGATTGAAAATTGCGTGACGTAAGCACTTCTAGAGTCAACTAATACCTGATCACAACAAAGCAGAGTGAAGATTGGCAACACAGTGACACAGGTTGCGTGACGTTCACTTAACATACAATCATTGAGCCTGGTGTCAAAGTGTCTAAAACTGTCTGTACCAGTGAAGGTAGTACCAAAGTGAAAATGCTGTGCTGAGTGGTTATATTACTACCTTAAAAAATAAGCAGAAACTCGACGTTTCGAGCGAAGGCCCTTCGCTACTAACTCTTGACGAAGGGCCTTCGCTCGAAACGTCGAGTTTCTGCTTATTATTTAAGGTAGTAATATAACCACTCAGCACAGCATTTTGTCAAAGTGTCTGCATGTGATCACAGTGGGAATTTTGCATCGATAAATTCTAAGTTTGGAAGGATTTATTTTTGAAGTGAACTGACTCATTGGTTAACATTCAGTCAGTTTGCTCAAACATTTCTTACAAATCCTTCAAAATTTAGAGACAGAAACGGTTGCGAAAAATGCAACAGTAGGTCCTCTGGCAGGAATCAAACCTGCGGTCCGGTGCAGCGCTCTAACCAACTGAGCTACAGAGACCAGTTATAGATATACCAGGTTTTAGTTACGCACGTAACGGCATCAGAAGAAAACTACGCCATGTCAGCATAATCAGCGCAACCGTAACTATTCCACCCACGGCACGACTTAACTTACCAAACCTCTTTCTACACCATTCCCTTTCAGCCTCCCCGTTCTTTACCCATATCCATTGCGCTGTTGATTTGATTTCATTTATTTTTTCTAGTGACTTTCTGTCACTGTCTTCAATGTTGAAACCATATGCGATGGCATTGCTCCATTTAGTAGCTACAAAACTCTCACAGTCTGATGAAATACACCTATCCATAACTGCACATTCCCATGAACCATCTGTGACCACCTTATTGCTAAAAGATGCAAGTATTGCACCCTTTCCTCCATCATTATAAACTTTAATCGTGACATTTTTCGTGTGTCCGGACAAGGTAAAATGTTTAACTTTGTTCCACATGCAAACCACGTTTCTCTTTTCGCCAGAGTCGGTGATTAAAGTTACAGCCTTTTTAACAGTTATGCTGACTGTGATTCTATTTACAGCATTACCTTTAAAAGATAAATGAATGTCATAAATTCCTTCTACAGTCTTTTAAAATATCCCCATGGAAAACAAATTGGTTAAGGTTACAGAACACCTTTGAGTGTTAATTTTGCCTAAAATTTTTTTACTGGTTTCAATGAAAGCATTAGACTAGGTCTACTATCTGACCAAGTTTGAACGAAAAATGTTGAAAACTGGCAGAGTTATTTAGTAAAATACATTTCGCTGCAATAAGAAAAACATTGAAAATGTAATATTCAAATTCAATTTTCTCCCGAAAAAGTTTACGGTAATTACTGATTTTCAAACGAGTTGTGCTCCTGCGGGTTTTAACCAATTTTTCTCAAATTTTCACA